CACCAGCAGCATGTTACTAACTAGTTAGTTTCTAGTTAACTAGCTCAGCTGCTACTGAAAGCAGCATTTCCAGACACAGCAACAGGCAACCCAGAGCAGCAGACTGATGTGACAGATTAAAAAGAGGCAGAGGGGTGGTGAACAGTACATTTTCCATCAGATCAGCCGAACTGACTTACCTACGGCAGCCCTGTGATCTACTGTAAACTGGGGGTGGGCATAAAATCCTGGCTTTTGACTTCAGGCTACACCCAGCTCTCTGGTTTGTTTGATTTCATGCAGGGTGGAGCATAGGAGTGTTCTCTTTCCAGGAACAGCCTGAATTATACAGGGGTGGGTTTGCATCCATTTTGTGTACCCAGTCACCAGAGCTAAGAAAATGTTCTATTAAATTACAATGAAAGAGAAACTTTGACACCAGAGCACTAAACCCACTGCCCAACAAAATCACAGCTGACAGGAGATGATGAAATGTCAGCCTCCTGCTAACGCCTGAGTGCATTTACTGCGTGTTGGCATGATACTAGCTTGTCACCCATTCTGGTCTTTGTGGACAAAAGGCAAAATCTAGTGGCAGGCAGGAACATAACTGCATTGATTCACCCTGATCTAAAGTCTAGAATGGACTACTTATGAAAATGGACCCACAGGACAGTGTCAGGTTCCTCTCCCTACTGTAATTTTAATATCGAGGCATAATTTAAGCTTTGGGTTTCCATCAGAAGCAGATTCTGGAATTGTCATTTCAAAATGAGAAGGAGCCCCCCATATGGAGAGGGACTTTTTATAAGGGCCTGTAGGGACAGAATGAGGTGGAATGGCTTTATCCTGCCAGAGGGGAGATTAGAATAGAACAGGCACAAGTTCTTCCCTGTGAGAGTGCTGCGGTGCTGTATGGTTCTATAAGTAGTTGGAGATCAAGGAACTAACCTGTGGCTTCTTTGCATGTGCGTGTGCTCCCCTGGCAGCTTGACTTTGTGTGACCAGGCAAGAGCCACAAGGAAAGGAGTAAAACTGGAGCAGGAGTGATTAAGATCAGCTTGAGCTATGCTGAAACCAAATACTGAGCACCAGAACTTCATAACCCTTGGCAAGATCCAGCAGTTTGGTTTGGTTTGTGAAGTCTGAGTGCCTGATAAAGTATGCCTGTGTAATGAACCACCTCCATATGGACAAACTGGAGCGGAATGAAAGACTGCAGCAGCAGCACAGCACTCCCAAACCGCTGAGCTCAGAGCTGCCACTTCTTTTGTTAAAGCAACATCTATTTTCAAGGCATCTGAACTCCAGGGGCACACTGGCTGAGCGATGCTCGCACCATGCTGCGCTGCTGCTAAAGGTGCTGAGGAGCCTCTTGAGGAAAAAGGAAGAAAAAGTAAGATAAACACCCAACTGTGTGCTGCTCTCAAAAGGACACTGAATATTTCCAAAACACAACATAACCCCAGCTCTCCTCAGAAGAGGGACCATAGACCTGCATCTTAGCAAGAAACCCTTCTAAAGAGATCTATCAGCCTTCTCAGCAGTTTTTCATACCATGGATAAAAACCACCATGAACATTAAAGCCATAACCATGGTCTCCCTAACACACTGCACAAGCAGCTGAGGAGACTCTTACCAACCTAACACTTGAAGCCTGTTGATCTCTTCCTGCCCCAGGAGCTATTTTGATATTATCATAGAATGCCAGACAGGTTTGGCCTGGAAGGGACCTTAAAGCTCCTCCAGCTCCAACCCCTGCCAGGGGCAGGGACCCCTTCCACTCGAGCAGCTTGCTCCAAGCCCCTGTGTCCAACCTGGCCTTGAACACTGCCAGGGATGGGGCAGCCACAGCTTCTCTGGGCACCCTGTGCCAGCGCCTCCGCATCCTCACAGGGAAGAGCTTCTGCCTAAGAGCTCAGCTCAGTCTCCCCTCTGGCAGGTTCAAGCCATTCCCCTTGTCCTGTCCCTACAGGCCCTTGTCCAAAGCTCCTCTCCAGGTTTCTTGTAGCCACTTCAGGCACTGGAGCTGCTCTAAGGTTTCCCCCAGAGCCTTTTCTTCTCCAGGCTGAAGCAGCCCAGTTCTCTCAGCCTGGCTCCATATTGTGGACTAATGAGAAGGAACCATCAGAGTGAATGAAAAAAGCAAAAGATTTAAATGACTTGAGCTCCCTCAGAAGCCACACTGGTCACAGAAGTGCCACATCTGTGCAGCCAGGAAAGAACAGGAAGACCCAGAAAAAAGGCACTTACAAGTAAATGCTGAAAGCCTCCCATGCCAGGAAACAGCACAGACTGAGGAAATCTACACCAGACAGTTAAGCTTTTAACTTCAGTTTCATGAGAAGTTGGCTGGTTGTACAGCATGGATATCCTAAATGCAGGTTATGAAAAATAGACATATATAGTAAGTTCATCATTAATAAAACCCTGCCGGCGCCTCTAAGTTTCTGTGCTATCCTTAGACTCCAGAAGTGCAGCAGGAATTACTCAATGAGCCTTTAGAGACGCGGCTCACTTGGCACCCAAACAATTCCACAGTGTGCTGTGGAGCAGGGAACGTTTCCTCTCCTCACCCCAAGTGTGCCAGTAGGCAGCTTTCCTCTGAGAAAACAGACACAGCATTCCAGGTTTTCCAGGCACCTTTCAGGGGAGCTCCCTGCCCCACCGCTGCAGACACTTGTGTTCTTCTGGCCAGCTGAGCATCACACAGACATCACCCACAGGGCACTTGCCTGTGGACAGCACATATATACAGAAGGAGTAAAATGCTCAAGTCTTGGAGAACTAACGAAGCTTAAGGATTCCTGAAGCTTAAAACTTAAAAACTAATCTCTGGTTAGTTGCTTTTGACTGGTTTTACCTAAAGCATTTCAACTATATCAAAGTGTTCCCATTAAAAAGACAGACTTGTATGTATAAACCACATAGGTTTTATTTCACTTCAATTATTTATGGATTTAAGTGACTCTGCATCAAAAGTAAGTAATTCCTGGATTTTAAACCAGCCTGAAGCCAGAGATGGAAAATCCAAACAACTGCATATTAAAAGTGCAGTGTGTTGGAGCTCAGCTGGTGACTGGGATAAGTGAGCAGCCCCTCAGTCTGTGCTGAGGGAACCTCACTCCCCAGCAAGCAGGTATCAGCTGCCTTTAGAGCAGCCCAGTAGTAAAAGGTGGCCTCTTAGTTTCAGGAGTCCTCTAGAAACACAGAGGGTTTGTTTTCCAGCAGAAGCCCATCCCCAGCCCTTCTCTTTTCACAGCTCCTTGATTACTCACCAGGATCCTGTTCTTTTGCAGACCTCAATTAGCCTGACCCAGAATCCTGCCAGTGAATGGGCAGGTTTTGCTCCTTCCTCCACCCCCAAAGAAACTTAATCCTTCCACTGCCCAAAGTGCTCCAGAGCACACAGAAAGGCAGTGAGAGATGACATTACAGCAGAGCACAATGAAGACCGCAACAACCAGCAGCAGACAGGGAAGTTTAGAAGTTCAACAGGACCACTGTTAAGACAGAAGATGCAGAAACTACAGAAGGGGGAAAGTAGAAAGAGATGGATTTTAGTTCTTTTAAGCCCAATTCTCCTCTTAGGTTCAAAACTGCACCAGAAACTCAGATTTATTAAAACCGTTGCAATAAATGTGATTTAGAAGTTAACTTGGTCAAGCCTGAAGTCAGGCTCTGTTGAGTCCCTCAGAAAACACCTGGGGTAGCAGAAGTGAGGCCTCTGCCACAGTCCCTGCTGCCAAACCCAATCACACTCTTGGGTGCTCCTTGTACTCTGTTGCTCACAGTGCGAGCAGCAGCCCTGGTGTAACGCTGCTCTGAAGTGTGAAAGGACACGTGAAATACTGACCAAAGGAGTGATATGAAGCAGAAACTTATCAGTAATTACTGTAAATTAACCCCTGCTACTTGGCCAAGAGCTGCAGCCACAGCCACACAGCCAGAGCTGAACCTCCTGCTGTCACCCAGCACAGAGAGGGCAACACTGACACAAACAAAGCAAACTCTGCTTTTCTGAAGGCACCACTTTTAACAACCACTGCAGAACAAGGAAGAAGCTCAGCCAAGCAGTGAAATACCCAAGATGACAACTCACTTCTTGTCTTTGGGCTGGCAGACCAGTAGCACACAGACCGGCTTATGTTGGAAGGGACCATAAAGCTCATCCAGCTCCAACCCTTGCCACAGGCAGGGACCCCTTCCACTAGAGCAGCTTGCTCCAAGCCCCTGTGTCCAACCTGGCCTTGAACACTGCCAGGGATGGGGCAGCCACAGCTTCTCTGGGCACCCTGTGCCAGCGCCTCAGCACCCTCACAGGGAAGAGCTTCTGCCTAAGAGCTCAGCTCAGTCTCCCCTCTGGCAGGTTCAAGCCATTCCCCTTGGCCTGTCCCTACAGGCACTTGTCCAAAGCTCCTCTCCAGGTTTCCGGTAGCCCCTTTAGGCGTATCAAGCACAGCTTGTAAATGCATAGCTAGACCGCCCCCCCCCGGGAAGACCAGGTTCCACCAGTAAACACCAGTTTTTAGTATCCATTTACAAGCCACATACAGCTTTAGGGCTCCCTGACGACAATAAAAGCATATTTAACCAAATCCAGCAGAGTTTTCGTAGGAAGTTTCTCTTATTAGAAGGAAAACCACCACAGTAAAGCAAGGCCTGATCCCGCACGGGTGCGTTGCTCTCCCCGGCGCTCCCGCACACAGCAGCAACACCCGGCCTCACTTCGCCTCTCTCTGAACCAAGGCACCACGGAGCGGAACCCGGACCTCGGTCAGAGGAGCTAGGCACCTTACGACACGGTTCCAGGCAGCAGTGACGCGGCCCCGCGTTAGTCACCCCCGGACTAGGGCTGCCCTTCCCTTCCCCAGGCTCCGGACGGGCCGCGCTGGGGCGGGGCGAGGCGCAAGCACTGGAGGGGGCTGCGGGCACCCAGCGGGGCCTGGGCCCGGCCCCCCCCAGCCCGGGCAGCCGAGCCCGGCCCTGGCATTGCCGGGGGACAGGCCCCACCGCTCACCGCGCTTGTTCTTGGTGCCGTGCTTGCGGGCGGCCGCCAGCTCCTGCTCGATCTTCTTCTCCAGGAACTCCTGTTTCTTGCTGAGCATCTCCTCCGTGTCGCGGAGCCGCTGGATCGCCTCCTGCGGGGACGGGCCTTTCCCGGCGCCTTTCCCGCCGGCGCCCGTCCCGAACAGCTTCCCCAGGAGTCCCGACATGGCTGCGCCGCGTCGGGCCGGGCCGCCGAGGCCGCTGTGTGAGGCGGGGGCTGCGAGCACGGCCGTGAGCCCCGATACGCGCTCCCCTCTCTCCGAACCCCCTCACGAACCGGCCGCCGCCGCCGCTCTCCCGCAGGGCTCCGCGACCCCGCCCGCCTCAGCCCGCCCCTCCGCCCCCCGCATACAGCTCCCGGCGTGCCCCGCGGCAGTCGCGCAGCGCAGGCAGGCGGGAGCGGCTCGCAGGGGATGCTGGGAGCTGTAGTCACGTCCCGAGAGCGGCGCAGAGCACGGCGGGAAGGTGCGGTCTGCCCAAGCGGAACCAGGAAGCGGCGTCACGGGGAGCGCTGACGTTAGCGGGAGCAGGCGGTGGTGGTAACGTGTCGCGACGGACCGAGCTGTCGCGATAGCGCGAGGTGGCGGCCCTGAGCTGCCCGTTGCCAGCATGAACTGCTCAAACCCAGAGCCGCGGTTGCTTCATTGATGGTGATTTATCCTGATCGTTCCGTGGTACCCAGCCTGCTCCCGTCACACGCTCCCACCTGGGGGGCAGCACGGACGCGTTCCGTGCTCTGTGACCACGGTACCGATGCACCGAGCACCCCAGCCATTACTGGATACACGACTGGTGTTTCCTTGTGTTCGGCCCCGGCGCGTGTCCGTAAAGAACACCCCGGCCAGGCACAGCCTGGGGTGAAAGAGGTTAAATCATAAAGAGATTCGGGGCAGAAACAGCGTTTCCTGCTGGAAATGACGCAAGGAAACGCGCTCTCGAGCCAGATTGGACCGGGCAGTGCTCTACAGCACCGAGCGGCAGAGAGGAAAATGAACCAACTGCTCAGGAGGCGAGAGCGCGACTGTGCCCCCAGCCCGCAGGGGAAGCTCTGTTACACACTGCATAAAGAGCCCCTCTCCAGGTTTCCTGCAGCCCCTTTAGGCACTGGAGCTGCTCTAAGGTCTCCCCTTCAGGAGCCTTCTCTTCTCCAGGCTGCCCCAGCCCAGCTCTCTCAGCCTGGCTCCAGAGCAGAGCTGCTCCAGCCCTCACAGCATCTCCATGGCCTCCTCTGGCCTCGCTCCAACAGCTCCACGTCCCTCTTGTGCTGCTGCCCCAGAGCTGGATCAGGGCTGCAGATGCACTGCTGGGTGGCATCTTTCAGCCCCCACGTCCTGAGGCTGTTCTGTGGCTCTGCTTCCACTCCGTGCGTTACACTCAGCACAACCGGTGAAAACCAGCTCCCAGCATCACCCTCAGATTGGCCATACACAGACCTGGTGGGAAGCAGGGCTCAGGAAGGAAAGGCCAGGCCTCCATCAGAGCCTTCCAGCACACATCAAACACATCATCATCATCTCAAAATAGACCCAAGTGCAGCGCTGCAGCGACTGCCAGAGCCCACATAATGACACCGTGTGGTGCAGGTATGGAGGGGAGGAGAAGAGGAAGAGTATATTTAAGCAAACGATTTCCTGATGCGGTTCCCCTCCTGGGAGAGCTGAGTACTTAAAATAGATTACACTGTGGGAAAGTGAACCCTGCCCTTCACAGCAGACAAGATGCTTCACAGAAGCACAGGAACTCCTAAGTAGGAAGGGCATCCCAGCCAGCTCCACTCAGAGCAGGATGGTTCTGAGCTCTCACAGCCTCCCTGTGTAGAAATGTCTTTCTTTACACCAAGTCAGAAGCTGCCATATTCCTGCATGTCCCTGTTGCCTCTTGTCCCATTCCTGTGCACCTCTGATTGTCCAGCTCCACCTTCTCCACTCCTCCTGCAGGCAGCAGCAAGACTTCCCCTTAGCCTCATCTAAAGACTGAACAATCCCCTTCTCCATAAGGCTCTGGGCTCCATTTCCTAACAACCCCACAGCTGGAGGTACAGAAGCATCACAAATAAGAGAAATTGGCAAAAAGGGAGTTGGAAAGTGAGTGAGTAAAGGCTGTGGGACCTGTCCTGATAGGAACCCTGCAACAGTCTCTGGGGTGACTGAGGCATCCCGTGGCAGCATAAAGCCAGAGGCTGAGTGTGGTAGAGGAAAGGATCCTGGCAGGGCAGTGGAGAAGGGAGCAGCACACTTGGTGCTCTCCTGCCTGCCCTGGCCTCCAGCCCTGCCCCTGTGCTGGGCTCCCAAAGGGAAAATCAAAGAGAAGCCAAATGGACCCCCGAAATTGTCCCAGTCACAGAATCCCAGACTGGTTTGGATTGAAGGGACCTTAAACCTCCTCCAGCTCCAACCCCTGCCACGGGCAGGGACACCTCCCACTGGAGCAGCTTGCTCCAAGCCCCTGTGTCCAACCTGGCCTTGAGCACTGCCAGGGATGGGGCAGCCACAGCTTCTCTGGGCACCCTGTGCCAGCGCCTCAGCACCCTCACAGGGAAGAGCTTCTGCCTAAGAGCTCAGCTCAGTCTCCCCTCGGGCAGGTTCAAGCCATTCCCCTTGGCCTGTCCCTACAGGCCCTTGTCTCAAGCCCCTCTCCAGGTTTCCTGCAGCCCCTTTAGGCACTGGAACTGCTCTAAGATCTCCCCTTAAGGAGCCTTCTCATACTGGAGTTTCTCGCTACTGGACCACACCAACTCCCACCTGCCCATGTCCCACTGGAACAATGGGTGCATGGAACTGAGTTAAGGGAACACACAGGCTGGGAAGCAAAAGAACTGCAACACAGGAGCTGATGCTAGAAAACTGCCTTGTGGTGCACCACAGGTTTCCTGTGTGAGTGGGACAGGTCACTTCACCCAGGCTTTACACAGAAGGTGTCACCTTTAACTGTCCCAAGGATTAACTCATGGATGTCTCAGGCACTTGGAGATCCTTGGATATGGAGAAGAACAATGAAAAGAACACACCCTGGGGAGAATTCCCAGCCAGAGAGAAGAGCCAACACAGATGCACGCTCCCCCCCACTGCCTCCACACAGCACATGAGGTCCACGGTGTTTATAACACATGTACAGACAAGGTGATCTTTCTGCTGATGGAGACAGAGAGAAGAAAGATACCAAAGATAAGTCTGTCAGGGTATTTCTGAACAGTATTCCCAAAGGATCTCAAGATCAACTTGCTTCCACTAGGAAGGATCAATAGTTTGCTCTCGGAAAGGCCACCCAAATACTGGGCAATACAACTTTCAGGCCAGAAAAACCACAGATGGGACAGGCTGTGATTTGCAAAGCCACCCCATTTCAGCAGCTCTGTTTGGTGCACGTTTGCATGCTCCTCCTTACCCTGATTCAGGGATCTTGGTCTTTCTTGCCCTAAGCTGACACAGATGGACAAGAAATAATGGAGCCATTCTCTTCAGTGCCTTGTAGCCATCAGTGGCATCCAAGCAGCCCTCTACCCAAGGATGGGAAGAACAAGTGGAGAGGAAAGCTGTTCTCTCCCATATCCATCTACCTCCCCACAAGAGCTTTGGTCTTTTCCACTGGGATAAATTTCAGCACCAAGTGTGACAGTCCCAGCAGCAGCCCTCAGCCACACAGTGGCTCTGTGCACTGTCACTCTGTTGTCTGGATGTACACGGGGACAGCCAGCATGGTGCAGGGGCCATCCGAGCCAGCCTGCAGTTCTGCTAGGGCCAAATTGGACGTGATGCTGTTGGGCTGTCCAGGAACAACGAGGTCCGAGTCAGCAGCTCCTGACCCCCCAACCACGATGGACAGGACAGCGTCTGACTCCTGGAAGGGCTCCTTGTTCGGGCCACCCTCAGGGAGGCTTTCCCCAACAGCCCCGTCCTTCAGCTCTGCCAGCCCCAGCGGGCTGGGGAGGGACAGGCCTGCCTTGCGCCCCCGGGCCACCCGCTTCTTCTGGGGCTTCCTGAGCTGCAGGTCCTTGTCCTTGGGGGAGCCCAGGCGGCACTTGTGGTCCTTCATGTACTTGTGGCGCGTGAAGCCCTTGCTGCAGGTGGGGCAGCGGTACTTGTAGTTGCCAGTGTGCGAGCGCTGATGTTCCATCATGTGGGCTCGGCGGCTGAAGGACTTGTTACAGTACTGGCACTTGTGGATCTTCATCCCTGCACAGAGCATGGAAAGAGAGAGAGCTTGGTTAGAGACCTGCATCCATCAGGAAAACCTGCCCCTTCCCATATGAAGACAGGCTGAGAACATTGGGGCTGTTCAGCCTGGAGAAGAGAAGCTGCGTGGAGACCTCAGAGCAGCTTCCATATCTGAAGGGGGCTACAAGGATGCTGGAGAGGAACTCTTCATCAGGGACTGTAGTGATAGGACAAGAGGTGATGGGTTTGAACTTACACAGGGGAAGTTCAGGTTAGATATAAGGAAGAAGCTCTTCCCTGTGAGGGTGCTGAGGCGCTGGCACAGGGTGCCCAGAGAAGCTGTGGCTGCCCCGTCCCTGGCAGTGTTCAAGGCCAGGTTGGACACAGGGGCTTGGAGCAAGCTGCTCCAGTGGAAGGTGTCCCTGCCTCTGGACAGGGTTGGAACTGGATGAGCTTTAAGGTCCCTTCCAACACAAACCACGCTGGGATTCCATGATTCTATGACAGCTTCATCTCCCCTTCCAGGGAGATGCTCCCAGATAAAAAGGAGGGGACATTGTGCCAAGCAAATCTGCAGTCAGAAAAGGGTGAGCAGACACTTTAGATGTGTGTTTACAAGCTAAACCCATAGTTCTTGCCTCAAATGAGAGGATTAAAATACCACCAAAAAGGTTAGGTAATTGTGACGTAAACACAAAACAATCTTAAACTGTGATTTTGTCCAAGTGTATTTGCCAAGTAAAGACATTTTCACTTTCTTTTTCCTCCCAGGTATGGGAATGTAGAGTCTGAAGAAAATCATCCACTGCATTGTCAGCACAGTCCCAGCTAATCACGCTCTGCAGGGCTTTGGACATGACAGGCATAAGACAAGACTCTCAGTTTTACCCCAAGAGACAAGTCTGGAGGTTCCCTGGGGTATGGGAATAAATCACATCTTTATTAGGAGTGGGAGCATCATCTCTGGGATACAGAGAGATGGGCACCAAATCCCATGGGATCTCCTTTTGAATGTGAGATGGTTTGGGGGAGGAGTGGACAGAGCACTCCGGATACTCATTTGGTAGCATACACACCAATGCAGCTCTGCTCCTGAGCCTCAGAGCAGACACTGCTGATGGTTTTATACTGCCTTAGAACACAGCCCAAAGCTGAGACTCAGCTCTAAATGCAAGC